GTTCATGATTAGTTTTAATTAATTACAATATTATTAATAGATAATGGTTTTTAACTCGCGATATTGAGTATAGTAAATTATAGTTTAATATTTTTGTATAAATGAGTGTTAAATTAGACAATTAAACCTAAAAGGGCACTTATAATTCTGAATGACAGAAACAACCCCAATCACAGTCCGAATTAAAAATATTGACCAGACAATGACTGATGATGCCATCCACGCTCTCTTTGATAAATACTCTCCAATTTCATATGATAATCCACGATATGAAAAAGAGAATGTATTGGATTTCTGTAAACTTTTAATGAAAAATAAAAATTCGGCTAAAAGCCTTGTTAAAAGAAAAAATGGGAGTGAATGGGACGGCGTCAAGCTCACACTGTCCGTTCAAAAAAGACACTCTTCAGGATATATCGTGAACTTCATCTATAAAGGATTAGACAAGAGTGAGGAAGACGTCAAGGAGTACTTAAAAGGGTATAACGTGTTGAGTGTCGAGAGATTAATTCAAAAAAAAGGAAACTTGATGAAACACTATGTGAGTGTGGTTTTTAAAGATATTGAGTCCGTCAATCAGGCCATACAAGACTTTAAAACTAATGAAGAGACGAAGAAATACCGTTTCGGGTTCATCACAAAAACAGGTGACTTAACAGAAAATTGTTTTATATGTGGAAAATTCGGACACTTAAAGGATGATTGTCCCGAAGCAGATAAAGCAGTGCCAAAAGTCGAAGAACAGAAAGAAAAGAAGGCTGATGATATTAAGGAAACGCAAGTGCCACAAGTAACAGAACCCAAAGAAAAAAAGAAGAATGGAGTAAAACGAGAAAAACACGTTACAATAGAAAAGGCACAGAAAGACAAGAAAGCTGATAAGAAAAAAGAAAAACAAAACAAAAAGAAGTGAATGATTTAAAGTGGTTTTAAGTGCTTTTTTACTATTATTTTTCTTTAAAAAAATATATACACGTAAACTGTATATCAAAAGTTGGTACTAATTAACCTTACGATTCTTTGTTTTTATAAAACATATTTAAAAAAAATGTTTTATCGATAAAAACGCCAATAAAGAACACCAGAAAATTGTCGTACATCATAAAATAGTTGTTCAAGTTGTTTTATAGTATTTTTTCTGTATATTTTCGGGTTTTTGTTTTTTCAAAACCCAATTTTTTCCTGATTGTTTAGTCGAATTTTATATGTGAAAAAAATTCCTGCTTAATTGGTTTGTTTGATACTAAAATCACAAGTGTACGACAATTTTCTGGTGGTCTTTAAATAACATTATTTTTAATTAAAACATTTCCAAAAATTGAAGAAAAAAGGTAAACCTATAAATTATAGTTTGAGCGATTGGTTTGTTTACTGTTTACATTTCAAAAAAGTCGCCACAAAGTAAGTTTTTTTGTATATCATATCAAGTTTAAAAAAAATATAATTTGTGTTTTATTTGAAAAAAGTAACAGTTTAGTAAGGTTAAAATATACCGGAAACCCTTTTTATTTTTGACTTTATTTGGGGTTAGACGTTTACATAAAGTCAGTCAGTAAACGTTGTTCACATCAGAATATTTCAAATAACGGCCAAATCTTCTACGAAACATGTAAACCTTAAAATAGAACACCAATAAACATACCAATAACATTTTCTTTTTTCTTTTTTCTTTTATGTTTTTCTTTTTCCAAATCAAAAAGAACATAAAAACAATGATATCATTTAATTTCAAGACCTTCTCGTTTTTTGTCGTAATCAACAAACACCCCCAAAACCATGCCAAAATGACGATCTCGAGTTGAGACCGTTCATCCGGCGAGAGTTGGCTGGGTTTTTTTGGCTTGTTGGGTTGGAATTGTAGAGGGTGTTCCGTCAGCTCGTTACGGCACGTAGCTGCCT